AATATATATATATATATATATATATATACTTTATATATATATATATATATATATATATATATAAAGTATATATATATATATATATATATATATATATATATATATATATATGTTGTAAGTAACACCAAATACTTTATAGTTACAAAAAAAAAAGTCAAAAAATATATTTTAAATCAATTTTTTTTTTTTTACTTTTTATTATTCAAAAAATCCTGAAAAAATTTAACATGGTTTCAACAGAAATATTAATAACCACCAAATCAGAATTATTTCTGAAGGATTTCGGTGGCAATTAAGACTCAAAATTCAGCTTTGCCCTTACAGGAAGAAATAACATATTAAAATATATTAAAACAGAAAACATTTATTTTAACTTGTTTTGTAATAATATTGCACAATACTACTTTTTTTTCCTGTAGCCTATTTTTGATCAAATAAATGCAGACTTGGCAAGCAAGAGACTTCTTTCAAAGGATCAGATTTTATGTTGAGCTGCATGGGATTCTTTAAAGTAGATGTGTCTGTTAGTTGAGCAGGATAAGCAGGATATAAGAATGAGTGAGTGCATAACCAATTGACCTGTCTCTAATGAGATCGTTCAAGCTGTCTTAAGTAGATTACCGAGCGGTGTCGAAGTATCAGAGATGAGGAGTGCACTCAGACCTGTTAATTAAACTATTATTGGACTGCGTCTGTTTTCCATCTCAAAGATATGATTGGGAAATAGACACTTTTAATTTTGGGGAAGCTAAAGACATTACAATAAATCATATTAATTGTTGCATAAAAGCAATGTGAAGCATGGAAGCAGCTTCTTGTGCATCATCCATGGAGTTAGGAGGTCATAGGCTGCCATGCAACATTTAGAAATTTACTTAAAAAAAATCAATGTTTTGAAATAGATAATGTGATCTATACTGTTCATATTTGTTCATCTTATTTGAGTTATTGTTCTGTCATAGGTGGGTGGGTCCCTTGGACAGAAAAATGTGCTGCCCTAATGCATTTATAAACTAAAAAAGTTTGTTAGTTTTTCATTATCTGTTTATATGGTTCACATACATACACATACATCCACACACACACAAACCCACACACAGTATAATACAATACAAGAAGGACTGATCTGCATGGCAGGTGCATGATGGCAAAAAACAGTGTTACAGTGCCATCTGTTGGCCACCTAGAAGCAGTGAAATTTATCTCTGTTCACAGGAGATCCAACGCAGCCAAATCAACATGGATATACCAAACAAGTGCTACAAATTAATATGGATATACCATATCAGTGAACAAATTTACAAAATAAATAAATAAATAAATAAATAAAAAATACGGATTCGATATTTCTTCTTTTTCACCCATATTAAATGGGCAAGTTTGCTGTAACGTGCATATGATGAAGCGTATGTAAATTAAAGGTAGGGTAGGCAATTTCGGAGCGGCTAGCAATAGCAAGCTAGCATTGAAAGCATTTAATCCCACCCTCCCTTCAGAGCATCTCCAAACCCACGCCTCCATCAAAATACATGAACGTGCAGATCATCTCCAATGACATCATTAACCAACGTGGTTGAACGATACACGCTTAGAAAATTGCAACATTTTATTTTGCGTCACCATTCTTGGTCGAGTTGCACTACTCGTGTTACCATATTTAAATAGGAAAAAAGTGGAGGTGTTTGGTCGCTTCTCTGCTTCGCCCATATTGAATGAACTGAAGTGCTATCAAAGTGTCACACGCCAGAGCGATTAAATGCACGCACAGAGACGAGAGAGGTATCAACTTGTCTTAGTTAAGGGAATAATATAGTTTAATATGAAAAAACAATGGAGTATATCCCTTTAAAGGTTAATAATAAAGTAACTTGTATTATCTTCAATATAAGACTACATGAATTGAGTTCAAGATAACACTTTACTTTACAGAAGTTACAGCAACAAACATAAATGGCTGAATTCCAAATTGCCCCCTATAGACGAATCTGGCAAGTAAGCGGGTGCCATAACTGAGCTGTTGCTGGGTAGCCATTGCCTCCTATTGTTTTCGTTGCAACTTGCGTTCACTGGAATAAACAGCCCGCGTTTTACGACTGTCGCTAACATTACAACTTTTATAATGTACAGTGGGAAAACATGTTCCGTTATAAATTGTTCCAATGTGGAAATGAGATAAATAATGGACACAAATGAAAACATGATGTCATTCATTTATTTATTGTTGCCAAATGGACAGATCTTTTTAATGGTTTCCTCATTAGCTAACGTTTGTCAAGCTATTTTCATAAATAATCTGTTAGATCGTTTGTACCTTCATCTGTGACTGGAGGCCACTGTCTAACATCATCAGCCCAACAAGTCATTCTGCCTGGCTGTACGTAGCTGTCATCGAGGGTGCATTATCACGGGGGTTTGTTTAACGGTAACAGCTCAGTAATGGCGTTGCCACAAGATGGCAGCCTACACAGAACGCTCGTCGGATTCGTGTGTACCCTATGGTATACCATCCCAAGGGGGTAATCCATCGACCGGAAGTTGAAGCTTTGCGGGAGCTGCCATCTTGTAGCAGAACTTCCTTTGCGTTACCATTTCCATTGACTCCCATTCATTTTGGCGTCACTTTGACAGCGGATAACTTTATATCTGAGGCATTTGAAGACCCCATTTGTCCATTATTTATTTTTAAAGAAACACGACAATGTATAAAATGCTCCATTACCTTGCAGCTTATGTTATGGCCCCGTAGAAGCAGTTTATTGTAAAAGTAGGCTAACGATTGCGTCATAACCACGCGACTCTCTGTCGCACAGTAGAGATTACCGTAGGCTATATGAACAGGAGGAGAAGAATGCTTGCGCGCAATCGGTGAAACGTGGAGGCAAAATGACAAAATAATTAATCAGAATACCTAGCAAAAGTTTCTCTTGCTCCTAGCTCATGGACAGCTCCTACTCACACTCTCCGCATCAGCAAGTTTCAGAAGGGAATGATTCAGATCGTCAAGCTCTGAGTCGGTTTGAGTCTGCGCGTCAGGAACGGAAGTGCTAAAAAAAAAAATCGCTAAAAATGGGCTTCACTTGTCTCAATATGATACCCTCAAATAGGGCGTTATTTGAGGAGACAGCCATTTGTAGTGGTGTCCAAAACCATAGTGGACGTTAGTACACTTGTTCAACATTGCACTAGCCTGGCATGCCAGACCTACATCATAACATCGAAATGATTTTTGCTGCCGCTAGGGTGTGTCTAGATTTCTAGGCTAACATGATAACATTGCACTGCAATAAGTGTACAACCGATGTACGCTCAACATTCACTCCTTAAAGTGAACAGTATGGGAATAGTGAATGAGGGTTAGGGGGCGATTTCAGATTCAGCCTCCCACATGGGGCATCTTCTTCTACTAAGTTAAGAACACTTGTAATACACAAACAACACCTAGTGGTTACTCCAGGAAATGAAATGAAATTAAATGTCCTGAAATAAATCATTTTATTTAATGGCTTTCTCAAAGCAAACACATTCAATGTTAAAGGCAGCAGGCATAGCTTATGTAAACAGATATATGGATAAAAGCATTATTTCTTACATTTTGTAAAAATGCTGTAACTAATTAAACATAAGTAAACAAATAACATTAGCCCATAACTGCAATAAATAGTTTATTCTGACCAGAAAAATAGACAAGAAATACATGTGTACTGTACACACATTCTTACTGATTGACGTATTTAACCAATTTTATTCACTGAGTTACATTCAACCGTCATTTCATCAAAAATGACCATACACTGAAAATAGAGGACATTTTGTAGACTCAAAATATTTGAGTTTCCAAAGAACACAGACCTCACTGACAAAATATACATTCATATTGAATGAATAAGCCCAATGAAAAAGCAAACATGAGACGCTATTTCTTCACAAAGCTGATATTTAGATGGAAACGTCTTAATGAGTCTTATAAGCTGGACTTGATGAAGCACACACAGCCACTAAAGCGTGACTGTGACTGTGACCACCACACTGAGAAAGTACATAAAGTCCTTTCTTCAGTTTCTTTCTGCTATAGCACTTCATTCCAGTCAGTGTGGTCTTTATAAGATTTTACTTCAGCCTTCAAACACTTATGAAATGTTCCATGTTGATGAAGGTGGAAAGCAGCAAGTTCCTGCAATGACAGGCTGATCATCAACCCATCAGAGACATTCAGAGTTTAGACTGTGCTTGGATGCTCTTCTCAGCAGAGCTTGGGAAATCTGGCTGTAAACCTTCAAATGTCTATTATATTAAAGTTGAGTCAAACCGATTATAAAAGAGTCAACTAAAACACTCAGTAGGTAAGAGGTTGATACGTGTTGGTAGGAGGTGAAATGTGACAATGTTTTGGTTGTTTTACTCAAGATAGACGAAATCACGACATGGAATGAAAGGTAGATATTGTTGGATACAGGTTGAGGGTAGAAAGTAGGACTGCGCGATTAATGGAAATAAAACCAAAATCGCAATATGGCTTAGTGCAATTTTCATATTTCAAAGTCAGCAATTGAATTAAATAAATCTATGCGCTGCATGTTTCAGAGTGAATCGCCACACTGTGTCCTTTTACACACACACAGCTCATGATCTGGTGTTTTCAGTGTCTTTCAGTAAAGGCTGCTCCAACTCATCTATGCGTTTTCTCTGTATCTGCTTAATTATGCATTGCGTAAAAACTTGCGTAAAAGCATCTTCCCAAAGTTGTAACGAGAAGCTGGCTGTTGTCAACAAAAGATAAACTTTAAGGGCTGTGTAGTTTTACAAGTAGTTGATGGTTTAATTTGTGAAAATGAAGAAATTGAGACAGCCATTCATTTTAGTAATGTAATATTACTGTTATAATGTAAAATAAAAATATTATTATTAAATGTTTTCTTAAATTATTTTTATTTTACAGTGAAATATTACAATAGTAATATTTATATTTTGCTTAGTATTTTTCTTTTAATAATACTAATAATCTTAATGAAAAATTATAATAATATTTATAATTTTATAGTAATGCTGTATTTTATAATCATACTGTATAAATCACAAAATCAAAGTCAATTTTTTTTCCCTCAAATTGTTCAGCCTGGAGCTTAAAAAAAAAACCTGCAGCCCTGTAGGAAAACCACTGAGGCATTTTATGGACTTTCATCCAGTGAGGAATACAATTATCCCACATTACAAGCAGGTGGTGCTGTTCTCATTATTTCAGGGTGGATTAATGCAGTCGGTTCGAAACTGAGGCAGATAAAGTGGAATGCTATGAGATACATTATTGGAATCAACGGCTGTGGATTTTTTGCCTTCTAGAAGAGGCCTGACGTCCACCCTCATAACTATCTCATTCCTATCCTGTGCTTCCTCGATATCCTCTTCTCCTTCCTGCTTCTCCTCCTCATTCATCTTGAGGTAGTAGAGGTCTTTGGCTACACCAGTGCTTTCCGATGATTCATAATCTTGTTCCGATGTTTCCGAGAACTCTTCCACGGAGTTGTAGGAGCTGGAATGGCGAGGATTGGTGCTGTCCGAGCACATGTCCCAGAGACCTCCAGGGAAGGAGCCAGAAATGTCTGAGTTGTTGGCAGAGAAGTTGCCTTCGTCGCTGGAGCTGCACAGACTCTCCTGCTGCTTTCGAAGGAGAGCAGGCTTATCGGAGAGGAGAACGGTCGAGTATGTCACTGAGGACTGGCCTGATGTTTCTGGGGTAACAGCGGCAGTGGATGCCTCCAGTGATAAAGGTTCAGAGGAGTCTGTAGTTTCCTGTTTTCCAGAGTTATAAATGAGTACTTCATTTTCTTTTTCATGTTCAAGAATGAGAGGAGGAGATTTCTCAATTTCCACCTCACAGATGGTCTCAGAGACCAGCAGCAGCGGACAGGCAGTGAGACCTTCTGAGTGAGGGAACAAGTTCTCCATGGTGTCAATCTGCAAGGAGCAAGAAACAGAAGTGTTGTGGAAATGTGATAACTTGTGTATTTTGAATAGGGATGTAACGATTCACTCGCAACCGGTTGAAAATCGATAAAAATGTGTGACGATTCAAGTCGGTTGAAATGTTAAACGAATCGCGATACACGTTTTAAACAGCAGGGCAGGGGCGTTTACTGAATAGCCTACTGTGAAGTTGTGAACCTCGCTTTACAGGCACAATAGCAGCGAGCACACTGGCGCGAACGTAGCGAGTGTTTTCACTTCATTCCTAAGGAACTTGAGCTTGTGTGAGTACTCATAATAATGAATTGAAAACGCTTGGTTTGCTCCGCTCACGCCGCGTCAGTGTGTGCCATAGACTGTGTGCAAGCGCTGTCAAACACATGGCGGCGACGGCAAGCGTAGATGTTGACTCATTCAAATCGGAGCTGTGGCGGCATTTTGACTCTTCGTAGACTAATACTAATCACCACCATGAGAAGCACATCACCTCCGTTTTCACTTAAAAGTCATTAATATGACAAGTGTGAGAGCTACGGAGATCACAATGTGTGTCAGTGTTTCCATGGCAACCATGTGTCGTATTTATTTTACATCTCTCTCTAAATGTGTACATGGATTTATTTATTTTTAAAATAATTTGTTGATGGTTATGGCATATTTTGCTAAATCTGTGTTCTGTTTTTTTTACTCTTTTTTAGTTAAAAAATTAAAATCTTCCATTATTACAATGTAAAAGG